GTAACAACTTCTGTGCCCTCCATCTGTGTGAGTCAAGGTTGCACACACCCCTCACTTACCTCATCGGGTGTTTGGAAATGGCATTGACCTCAGTACTGCCGGCCCCTTCTATCTTTTTAATTTTTTTTCTTTGTGGATACTTTTTTGGGCAACCTGTAGAGCAGCAGGAGTTCACAATACTATAGAATAGAATAGAATATAGAATGCAAAATAGAATGGAATGGAATGGAATGGAATGGAATGGAATGGAATGGAATGGAATGGAATGGAATAGAATAGAATAGAATAGAATAGAATAGAATAGAATAGAATAGCATGTAGAATAGAATAGACTATAGAATGCAGAATAGTAGAATAGAATGCAGAATAGAATAGAATAGAATAGAATAGAATGTAGAATAGAATAAAATAGAATAGAATAGAATAGAATAGAATGTAGAATAGATTAGAATAGAATAAGAACGGAACAGAACAGAACAGAATAGAATAACGTGTTCATCCCAAAGTGCATGGCTAAATGTCTACAGAGATTCTCAGTCATCTTTTTTCAGGAGGCATCTGGACTTTCTTGTTTTTCTTTGAAGTTACTTCGCTTCTCATTCAAGAAGCTTCTTCAGCTCTGACTGGATCCACACAATTAAACTTGAATTCCCCCTTTGCCCACCCCCCTCCTTCCGTCCATTGCGATGTCCGATCGCATTACACTCCTTTCATTACGAGAACTGCCCGGACTGTTCCAACACCTGCACAGCGAGACCTTGAAGGGAGGAACAGGGTCTCATAATCTCCACTCTCCACTTGACACGTTCTTTTTTAAAAAATCAGTAGCCAAAGGTTTCTGAACGTTCTTTTCTCTTTCCGGCCTGGTCTAAAAACCACCCTTTCCGTCATTTCTTTGCAGATCACAGTTCAATACGTCCAGGAAGACGGGGCGGTCATCCCCGTGCGGGTTCATACCATTGTCATCTCCGTGCAGCACGACGAAGGCATCTCCTTGGAGGCCATGCGCAAAGCCTTGCAGGAACACGTGATCAAAGCCGTGGTGCCAGCCCACTACTTGGACGACAACACGGTTTACCACCTGCAGCCCAGCGGCCGTTTTGTCATCGGAGGGCCACAGGTGTGCCTTTTGCCTCACACCACCCTGAAGGGCTGAAGTCACATTGTTATATTAGATCCAGTAAAGGTCACCTTTGATGTTACCACCGCAACGTGAGCCCAAAAGTTGTGTTGCGGAGTGAGGCGTTTGTTAAGTAAATTTTGCCCCATTTTATGATGTTTCTTGCTGCAGTTCATTGATTGGTACAGAAGAATTCTCTTCCCTCGATTGCTTTGACCAGGGTAGGCCACCTTGGCTCTTTTTATGACTCGTGGACTTCAATTCCCAGAATTCCTGAGGCAGCCATGCTGAGGGGAAAGGGAGAGGTTTCCAAGCAGAGCCATGCTGGCTCAGGAATTCTGTGAGTTGAAGTCCACGAGTCATAAAAGAGCCAAGGTTGCCTACCCCTGTCCTAAGTCCTCCTGTTCTAAGTGGTGAGCCTCCTAGACCAGGGGTAGGCAACCTTGGCTCTTTTATGACTCGTGGACTTCAACTCCCAGAATTCCTGAGCCAGCCACGCTGAGGGGAAAGGGAGAGGTTTCCAAGCTGAGCCATACTGGCTCAGGAATTCTGGGAGTTGAAGTCCACGAGTCATAAAAGAGCCAAGGTTGCCTACCCCTGAACTAGACCAGTGGTGGGCAACCTTGGCTCTTTTGTGACTCGTGGACTTCAACTCCCAGAATTCCTGAGCCAGCCACGCTGAGGGGAAAGGGAGAGGTTTTCAAGCTCAGGAATTCTGGGAGTTGAAGTCCACGAGTCACAAAAGAGCCAAACCAAATTTTTGACAGGATTTCGATTTACGGTCTGGAGGCGCAAAGTATTATTAGCCAAACAAAAGAGATTTATTTCATCTTCTAAGGCTTTCTTTTGTCTTTTTTTTTGCGGGGGGGGGGGGGGACTAGAATGAAACATTTTTTCCAAAACCTATTTGGTCTTCCAATATTGCAGGGTGATGCAGGAGTCACTGGCCGGAAAATTATTGTGGACACTTATGGTGGATGGGGCGCTCACGGAGGTGGAGCTTTCTCGGGCAAGGACTACACGAAAGTGGACCGATCAGCAGCCTACGCAGCCCGGTGGGTGGCAAAATCTTTGGTGAAAGCAGGGCTGTGTCGACGGGTTCTGGTCCAAGTAAGTGACATTTTGCTAACCTGATAGTTTTATAGTCAAATAAAAATCAGTTTATTACAGCCATAAGACCAGATTTCTGGCAGTAGAACTGTTACATCTCTCTCTCTCTCTCTCTCTCTCTCTCTCTCTCTCTCTCTCTCTCTCTCTCTCTCTCTCTCTCTCTCTCTCTCTCACACACACACACACA